AAATACGTACAACAAATACATTATTTGATAGGCACGTTTACTTTAGATATTTATGACGCTGTATACATAAAAATATGCTTTCAATGATCCCTTTTGCATTTGTTTTGCTTATTTTCAGCGCACTAACGGCAATGACCTGGAAGGATAGACGTTAATGCTCCCCCTCCCCCGTCGACGTTTTTGGAGTGCCCGGCACTACCACCTTCACTTTTGGCCGGCCAGTGGTAGCTGGGACCACCTTCACTTTTGGTGGGCCCGGCCCCCCCCCATCGCACCTCTGATGCTGATTACGAATACAATATTAGTTTTTTGAATTATCTGTAAAAATTATGTATATTTTGCCAAGATCAATTTTTCTGTAAAGTTGATCTATGGGGAAGGGAGTCACTAGGGGTAAGAGAGGAGGCATGCTGATTACGAAAAAAAACGATAAGGAATTGGCATGTAGAGGGGGCACAGGGAAAGGTTTGCACAGGAGAGGGATAGTAAGCATTAACATAATGTTCTGAAAGGGCCGGGCGGAGCCGGGTATGCCAGCTAGTAACCACTAAGCGGGGAAATGGAACTTATCTACCCAAAGCACTTGCCGCAGCGTAGTTATAAAGTTGTCAGCAACGATAATTAGCACCTAATCAGCACCTTATGCAGAGCCAATTTGTGCATATAGCATCCTCGTCCTCATCAGGGAGCACATGAAATGAATTCCAGTGAAATTTCGGATGCAAAGCTCAGTAGTAATATATGTTCGATTAATATAAAAACTTGTATTCGGGGGTTTTCAAGCACTATGTGTCCGAATTTGCTAATGATTTTGCTTAATACTTCCAAAGGATACTCAATACTTTTATTATCAGCTTTTTGAAAGATAAAGTTTTTCACGTCTTTACCGTATATTTGAACTGAAAATAAGGGGTACCTATCACGCCGGTTTTTTGAATCTACAGTAAAGTCGTTAAAGAGTTTATTTTCCAAAAGAATAAATTTGAAATTATTGAGCAAAACCATTAGCATATTCGGAAATAGCTTGCATGTTAACCTCTGAATACAAGTTTTTACTTTAATCGGACATGTATTACTACTCAACTTTGAATTCGAAATTTCATTAAAATTCAGTTTCATGCTTTCGCGGATGAAACCGAGGGTGCTGCGTGCACAGATTGGCTTTGCATGCGGTGTTGATCACATGCTAATTGACATTGCTGACAACTCACGACCTCTATAACTTGTCGCCGATGGAAGAGTCCCGCGCGGATTCTCTGCAGGAACGCATGTCCGCGCATGTACAAGGGTGCGTATTTGTCGCAAATGACTGCGGGGACCGCCCTTTTTCGGCGACATATAGTCCTCTACCCAAAAAAACCTTCAAAAACATTTTTCAAATCAGTCACAGTCGCGAAATAAAAATATGCAAGGGAGGGCTACCGAAGATTCTCCTTAGATAACAGTTTGTTTAGATTCATTCGTTGTGCAGTACTTGACGATATTCTGTTTTGCACATATGGCAATGCTCATGGAGTTTTGGGCTCTCCCCGGCAGGCCGGTGGGTATGTACCCGCCGTCGTTTGCTTGTTTGAATACTTTAAGATCGTTTGCTGGCTAACGCGGGGGCATGGGTTCCATCTCTGTGGATATAACTCATCATTGACATTCGTAATATCCAGCAGTCTTCTTGCAAGCTAAGTCATTATTCTTTAGTTTTATGAAGTCTGGGCCTGAAGCATATGATGTTCTGTTGTTATTCGTGCTTTGTGTAAAACTAACAATTACACTGTTTGTTTCTGTTTTTTTTATGGTACGCCTTGAGCGTATTCAATGAAAATGAAAATGAAATGAAAATGGAAGGGAGGGGGAGGGGAGGAGAGTTAAACACTGATCAACCGGGGACGTTGTATCAATCACCCCTTTGTGCAAGTCTTCTTGTGTAGGTAACCCAAAACGCTAGCCTCACGCCCGCGATGCACCTAACCTGCAAGAGCCCGGTCAGGTGGGATCGGATAGCTTAGCAGTGCGTGCTGACGCATATCGTGTATACCATATCACGGGGGGGGAGGGCGTTAGGTACCCAGCCATTAGTGCTATACACTAAGCCACGCCCCTTCTTTGCTTTAACAGCGGGTACCTAACGATACACTAAATCTTAGCTGCTAGAACTTATCTAGCTCGCTAAAGTGCTGGCGCTTGCGACCACAGAAGAAAGATGGTTGAAGGAAGTTTTAAAAAATGCGCGAATAAAAGCGCAAGTTTGTACACAACGTTTCTTCAATGCTTCTGTTTTTTTATCAATTTTGGAAACCCAGAAATTCGGTGATAAAAGTTAGAGCAGAGTAAAGCTTTCATGAGCTAATCTAACCGATAATGTCAGCGGGAATCAAAAAAGTAAACTTTATAGAATTCCATTGAACCAAAATTCTATGATTTAATTGCAGCAAAGCGCACTTTTGGAGACGCTTCCGGCAAATAAGTTGCGGGAATCATTATTTTGTTTCAAAAAACTGCTCCAACTATATTTTTGACAGTGAGAAGTGGATGCAATTGGAGGAAGAGCTTCGACGAGAATTTGTCATCAGGAATTGGAACTTTGAGGAGGACTATGCGAATATCCATTAATTAATGGGAAGGCTACTAGCTCTGTTTTAATCAATGAAAATCTTGCATTATAGAGCTATGCCAACTTCGGATGAGCGTATACCAATAAAATGAAATAGGTTGACAAAATCTTTCACTTCTTAGTGAGTTACAAAAAATATCTGTTAGCTTTGGTTGGATAAATTGATGATCTCTAGCTGCTAGAAAAGAGAATGACTATGAAACACTGCAATGAAAAGTCCTCCAAAAAACACTACAGAGAATACAGGCAAGAAAAAACACAGTAGCTCAATGAATTTTTCATCCGAGATGTGGAATCTTTCGAATTAGAAAGGTGTGCTTATTAATGTAATCCCATAGATCTGTTGGCCTCAGCAATGACCGAACTAATAGCGGTAATCTACGACAATGTAGTTCACAATCGTGTGGCAATATTAAGGCTAATGGGTTACGACCTTTAACTTCACACCTCAAAACGAGGCCGACGACAATATGTGAAAGGAATATTCCGTGCAACTTATTTGCCAGGAGCATCTCCGGAAATGGTTTGTTCCTTCAGAATCATAAAATTTTGGTTTATTGGAATTCTACAAAGTTTTCTTTTTCAAAATTCCCTCTGACATTATCGTTTAGATCAGGATAATCACAATTTTTTTTGCAAAACTGTGTGAAGTGCTCATAAAAGTTTTCCCTGTTTTCAACTTTCATCACCGAATTTCTGTGATTCTAAAATTGGTAAAAAAGAAGCAATGAAAAAACGTTGTGTACAAGCTGCGCTTTCATTCGCGTAATTTTTTTCTGATTTCCTCCAACTGTCCTTTTTCTGTGGATCGCAAGCGACGGTATCTTAGCGAGCTAGGTAAGCTGTTCTAGCAGCTAGGATTCAGTGTATCGATAGGTACCTGCTGTTAAAGTAAGCAAGGGGCGTGGCTTAGTACATAGCACTAATGGCTGGGTACCTAACGCCCTCACCTCGGCTGGGTACCTAACGCCACGCACCCCACATCACGCATTAGAGTTCGATTTGAAGAAATCGAGGTGTACTGCGGGTTTGAGTCTGATAAAACTTATACTTCGCTTCAGAGTAATGCTGCGCAACCAAGGACAGCACATTTGAAATCAGAGTTTTAGACTGATTCAAAGAATATTCAAAATTCTGAACTGAGCTGAGGCGCATTTCCACGTCAGTCTGGGAGATTTATACATGCCGCCCCAGAACTTTCCCACTAACACTATAAGCTAATTACAGCCATAGCCCCACTCGTTTTCAACACAACCCTCGTGAAGAAATTCTCTTTACCATCTAAAATCACTCCAAACTGCTTCTTTTCACTGTACTTTCTCAGTCAAGCTACTCAATCGCCTTGCATCTGGAAGTTTGATTCCTTACCATGCTTTGTTATGTAGTGATTACACAGGGAGGAGCTTGGATTATGTTTATCTTTTTTCGCCTAACACTTATTCTTAACTTCTTGCCACTACAACTATAAGTGTCTACATATACAACTGTCTTTATCAAGACTCAAGATGCCACTAGCTAAATTCTCTGCCTGAGCTGAGAAGAGAAAATTCAGGAATTTCGATTCTTGCAGAAATGCAGATTGCTATGTTTATGAAAGAAGTTCATTGTTTGCTTTACTGGGAACGAAGTATGAGAAAAGGATAGAGCAAATCGAACCTCCTCCAGACTCAATACATTACTGGGAGAGCAGATAGTTTCGTTCCTATAGGGATCGGTCAGAGTTTGCCGGTGTTGCAAGTGTTGCCGGTGTTGCAAGTGTTGCCGGTGTTGAAAGTGTTGACGGTGTTGCAAGTGTTGACGGTGTTGCAAGTGTTGACGGTGTTGCAAGTGTTGAAAGTGTTGCCGGTGTTGAAAGTGTTGAAAGTGTTGCCGGTGTTGAAAGTGTTGAAAGTGTTGACGGTGTTGCAAGTGTTGACGGTGTTGAAAGTGTTGAAAGTGTTGAAAGTGTTGCCGGTATTAGAGTGTCTCTCATTTTTCTTTGACAGACCTCACCAGGTCGGTCGAGAAAGAATGAGAATCACTTTCAACACTTTCAACACTTTCAACACCGTCAACACTTGCAACACCGTCAACACTTTCAACACCGTCAACACTTGCAACACGGTCAACACTTGCAACACCGTCAACACTTGCAACACCGTCAACACTTTCAACACCGTCAACACTTGCAACACCGTCAACACTTTCAACACCGGCAACACTTGCAACACCGGCAAACTCTGACCGATCCCATAGCACAACCTACAACTACATAGTATAAGGTGATGCATAACCGAATTCTTGTTAAGGCCTTGGCAAAGGATAATTAGCATCTTTTTTGATAGAACAATAACGTTATCAACATGAAATCATTCATATAAAAGGAGCTGGAAGTAGTGTGGTACATTCTCTAGTTTACTCACAACCGACGTCGATGAGTGCAAAGGGACTACCTCCGCCGTCTGCATCTGAAGGACAATCGTCAGCCGCTGGAGACGGCCCGATCGGGGGAATAAAGCAGGCTCATGTATGGAACGCCATTCCTGTTGAAATTCGTTCACTCGTACTGTTCCAGGCCGACATGGTTGCTTGGCTTTACAAGCCACATGGTGGCGCAGTGGATGATCAGCTGAAAAAGATTGATGCAGCTAATGTGAAACGAGAACATGTGGGAACTATATTTTTCGACGTTTGCTGTGAGGCTTTAGAATATATCAATTACAGATTGCCTATGGAGTCATAGGATTGGTGAGCTTGTATCTACTTTTTGGAGAAGAAGCGATGTTTGTATCCAACTTGATCACTTTCCTATTCCCTGCATCATTCGCTGTTGGCGTAAGTTTCTACTTGTTTTGGAAAATAGAGGAATGTTCAATGCATGCGAGGAGAGGTCAAAAACAAAGAAATCTCTGCAGCTTTTTGAAAAGGCATGTTGTGCGGGAATTGAAAGGATCAAAGGAGAGAGCTTTCGCGCTACAGTATGCTAATTCTACCTTCCGCGGCTTCCGCGACGGGACCTTCGACTCATACTTGCTTTTGCTTTCGCTCGTACAGAAAAGCCTGCACCCGAGAAGTTGGGTGAGGGAACTGCGCAGCTATCTGCAGATTACCCAGGAGCGACAACCACTTGCTACACATCGGGGAAAATAATGAAAACTGCAAAAAGAACATTCTCCACTTCAACATTCTCCACTTTTGGTATTGGTCGTTCTCGAGTAAATGAAGTAAGAGAGTGTGTATTCATCGCAGGCAGAAGTAGGGTGAAGCTGCGAACGCAATCAGCATCTCTAGTAACAAGAGCACTCTCAATTCTCTAATCGTCTGCGGATTCTTCCAAATGCGTACTGTCTTAGTCAGACGCAACTGCGACCAGTCTCTGCTGCACTGACTGATAATCGATAAAAACATGTTACAGATCATTCGTGGAAAGAAAGGAACAGAAGCTGTAAATCAGTTATTGTACTGGGTTCCATTTGGCTTCTTTGCGCTGCTTGACTCCACATCGTTCAGCTTGATTCCTGCTTATTATCTCTTGAGGGTAAGCTTTCTTTTTCAGAGGAGCAATCAATCAAAGACGATTTGTAGACTGCGTTCTTGATTTTCCTATTCCTTCCCCAGACTCAAGGAGCTCAACTGATCTACAACAAAGTAATTGAACCAATAGCAAAGACAGTGGAAGGATTTGGAGGAAAGAAGGCCTAATCATAGATCAACTAATATTGTAATAGATCCAAATGAACATGGTCATAGGCAGTAAAGGCTTGAGTGGTTCTCTAGCACAATGCACATGCCATAAAAATTCCAAAAATAAGAGATTCTTGAAATGTTCCCAGTTACTAATTGATTGAATATGATTTATACCTCAATTATGTCGAAAACTATACTGCTCTTTGAACGTTTCGTTTGCCACTGGGCAAGGAAGTATCGACTGTAGCTCGTGCAGATTTCGGACCTGAAAATGATTTTGGCAATTTTGGTTAAGTTTTGATTTATTCACTTGCTTTGTTAAATTTCCGCTCATGTCTGCGTCAGACATTCAGAAATAGGATAAAACAAGATAAAACAGTGCGTGGCTAAAATTGCACCAACTTCAAATTTTAGGCCTCGGCCAGACTTCGCTCAAAAGCGCGCAAAAGCGCCCATAATTCTCTGATGCCTCTTCACTTTGTCGTTTGAGGTGAGATGAGAGAAAGTGAGGAGGTTAGAGCAATTTGAGCGCTTGGGCGTTCTTGGGCGTTTTTGAGCGTTTTTGAGCGAAGTTTGACCAGAGTCTTAGATATTATTAGAAAATTGGCCAAAGATGGAAGTCATTTGTAAGTTACAAGTGATTCAAACGTCTTGAGTCATCTCTGCTGTACTCCTCTCCACACAAATCATGCCCTTGAAGGCACCGTCCACCCAGATTCTCGCTTATGTTTTTGTCATCCGGGCCTTCTCATGTCCCTGATTCCGAAAATCAAGTCGAGAATCCGCAAAACCCCGACAAACCCCGTTTCGGAGAACCCGCAGGGCGAGTTGTGCAGAACGGTGATTGGTTAGGTGCGCTCAAACGGGCGGAGCGAACGTCCCCACTGAAAGGGCAGAAGTCAAAGTGGCGAATCCGTCATCCAAAGCGATTTTTGAAGCAATTTTCTCGTTTGGGAAGCAGCTTCTGACAGCGCGAGTTGGGCAATTATACGATTGGGGACCACACTACTGTTAGGCATCAAAATCTTATCGATCACATTTTGGGTGGACGGTGCCTTTAATGTGGGACTAAAGGTGCCAAAATGCTATCTCGCATTTGCTCAAAAAACACAGGTGTCCTTAAAATGTCCCCACTCTTTGGTCGTTAATACTCTTTTTTCATAACAAGTTGGCTTCAACTTACTGTTAGTTAGTTCTAATCTTAATTAAATCACCGCTCTTTCTTCATTGCTGTAAGATTACGGTGGAAGCTCTGAAAAGCATTTTGCACCTTTTAGATAGATTTTGTATCATATAAGCTTTCAAAAAGCTGAAAGTTTTGTTCGATTTTAGATGCCAGGACAGTCGCAGGATTTCTGCGAGAGGGGGGGAGGGGAAGGCGACAACAAATTTTCCGAGTGAGGACGTGGCTAGCCGCCGTTTCAAAAAATTTTTGGGGTGCTTTTAAAAATCTTGCGAACCCATAACCCGAATTTTAGGAAAGAGGCGTGGGCTAAAACGGGTTTTCAAAATTCTTAAAGTTACATAATTTACAAGCATGAACAAAAACACCTTTTCAAGCTCATGTAAGTAACCTTCGAGAATTTCGCAACCCTCCCCCCATTGGTCCGCTACTGCTGATGCATGCATTACACATCATAATTCCGCTCGTATTTTTTGGAAAAACGACGCAAAGTCGCGCGATTCATGTGAGATTACCGTAGCGTGACCATATCTCGCCTCAGAGTGGACAAATTCTTGAACCAAGAGCATCATTCGACTCAGCTCGTCGCGGCGCATCTTCTGATGTACAGATGCTTGTTTGGACACAGTCGAGGCCAGATTTCACGAATCGTTTCAGATTTTTGCTTACGGTAGATTACTCAGTGTGCTTGTTCAGTGCACTCCCTGGGCACGATTCATGGAACATGGCCTCCTGCCGTGTCTAAACACGCAATTTTACATATCAGAAGATGAGCCGCGCCAAGCTGAATGGTGACTTTGGATTGAGAATTTGTCCACTCTGAAGCAAGATATGGCCACGCTGTGAACATGAGTCGGGCAACTTTGTGCCGTTTTTTTTTTTTCAAAAAACACGAGCGGTATTGTACTGCTGACACTGTTGAAAAGTTAGCCAAGTATATCCGAAAAGATAATACGTCAGAAACTTGATTTATTTGAGTCGTTTTGCGAATGACAAAGCTGTTTTCTGAAATTTGCGCCTCCATAAACTCCACCAAAAAAGTTTCAATTTGGCAGATTTTCTAGAGTGTCTTTGAATTTGCAAGCATGCCATGATGCAAGAAATCTAGCATATTTCTACAATAACAAAGAGAACTGGCACTTTTCCCGATACCCTAAATCTAAGCTGGAAGCAAGTTTTACAGAGTTAGTACATAAAGATCGGCGAAAGACAAAGGGGCAAGAGAGTTATTTTAGACCAAACAGAAGAGAAAGGATGACCTTTGATTCAACTGGCTTGGCGGCTGGAAGGCGGGCTTTGTGACCTAATTAAGGCCGCTCGCGCTCGTTACGCAGTCTGCGTCTCTCTCGCGCGCGTGCTCTCTTATCATTATTCAGCCTTAATTAGGTCATGGAGCCCCGCCTTCCAGCCGATAAGCCAGCTGAATCAAATGGTACCCTGCATAGTAGAGCGACTCATTTGAAGCGCTCAAATATCAGGTTGTTACCTTAGCTTTGTTATACTTTCTTCGTCTGCCTCTGGAAAACTCCAGAAAATTCGGCAAGGCCTCATATTTGGTATATACGTGAAGAAAAGGGGTATCTGCTGGCAACCGTTATGCTCCCACTACGTGAATTGCAGTGAATATAAAGGAGGAAATTCTATAAAAGCATTCCAACCTTCATTCTTTGTTAAATTCTCCTGTTCTTCTTTCAGCTTTTTATTTTTTGTGAGCTTCTGGGAGCAATGGTAGTAATACTGAGGCAGCTCGAAAATGTGTGAAAAGTGTCGGAATTACCCAAATTTTGAGAATTCATGCAAATTCCGCACTTTTGAAAAATGTGCGGAGCTTGCCACCTAGGGGGCAGAGTTTGCCTGATGGTGGGCGGGGCCTGGCTAAAAGCTGCTTGTGGTCTTGCGTTCATCTACGGCCTCATCCATGCTTTTTATGAACAAAAAAGGTCCTCGTGAGGGGCACAGGAGTGGGCGGAGTTTGCTCGAAGGGGCGGAGCTAATAATACATGAAGCACATCTGAGCCTATGTTGATTATATGAACAAAAACTGTGAGGACTGGACATATAGTACTGAAATTAAGGCCGCCGCTCACCATTGCGCGGCAATTGTCAACGTGTTAAACTCTTCAATAATTAGAGTTGGAAATTTGCCAAAAATAATTCGAAAAATTTTTAAAAATTCGAAAATGTAATTTTTATGTGCGACATGTATGAATGAAAAATCTGCAACACTAAACATAGTATGAAAATAAAAATCATTTGACAAAGCTATGAGGATTTTTCCGGTTGAGTGTAATAAAACTTATGTAATAACCTAATACCTTCTTACCTGAACGATTCTTCCTTGTAAAAGTCGTCTTTCTCTCGTCGTTGCCATTGATGGAATGATCGGTAAGCGAATAGCATGAGACCTTAGAGGACAGCCTTAGAAAATTGGTTCTACCTTTTTGCGGCGAATACTCACAGCTGAGGGCAGTCTTTTTGACATAGGCATCGCATACGATTCAGTTGTACAAAAATATCCTCGTCGTTGACCTTAATGCATTTATTTCCTGCTGTAGAAGAGCATTTTTAAAAAAAGTGAGCAGCGTACCTCATAAACTATGACAGGCATTCTCTTATGATAAGCAGTGATGTAGCAGTGCATGATGTAAAGAATTAGGGGAAAATTGATGTTGGGAAAGAGTAAAGGGAAACCAAATAGGTATTGCGGGCAATATAAGCCAGTAGATACATCCAAGAAAATGATCTAAAGATTTGATTTTTTGTTGAATGTTTTTAAAATCAACTGTAAAAATGGTTCATAATCAATGCACGTTAATCTTTCCTCTTCTTTCAAGCGTCGTCTTCTAAAATTTCTTTTATGATTTCTGAAAGGCAACTTCTTCTAGTTTCTTATATTTTTTCATTTTCGCAAATCTTTGTTCATCTCTGACATAAGCGACTGAAACATGAAATTTCTGTTTCCTCACTCCTTGCTAGAAATATCTCCTTGTACTGAATTACTAGGGTGAGTCAAAAGTAATGAGAACATCGCTTCTCTTGTTAGACCTACTCTCAAATTAGGCAGAATGTATGCATGCAAGTGCTCTAAACGGTGTTTGATACGGATTTTCTTCCTCTTTCCGATAGCTATAAACTTCAACCAAATCATTTCATTGCTGAAATATTTGCAGAAATTTTGAACCCAAAGCGTTTGTCGTTTGAATTCTATGGTTTTTTAGACGTGTCAAAAAATTCTAGACTGTGGTAAATTGAAGCGATAAACGCTTGATTATCTTGCAAAATCAAGGATTGATAATAAATTACTTTCGAAGCTCCCAAATTCGAATAATTTTGTAGGGTTTTACGCGTTTTTGTTTTGAGCGAATTTTTGAAAATTTGGTTCTTTTGGAAAAATTATTTTGAAAAGAGAAAATGCTAGCTTCAAAAGACCTAAAAAGTGGTTTGCATCGAGCAAGACCTGCTTTGTTTTTATGTAATCGGATTTTTCGAAAACCTCAGACTGAAAATTCTGAGGTTTAGCTAAACTCAATCAAAGCAAAAATGACGGGTTCAAAATTTTGGAAATTTTTTCGGCAACTAAAAAGTCAAATCGGTTTTTGACCTGACTGCCGAAAAGAGGAAGAAAAACTAGTTTTTCTAGATTTTATTTTACTCACTATCCCTATTCTATACGATTTGCGGAAAGTTCTCATTACTTTTGACTCAACCTAATATGTTAGATGGTCGAATTTGTTCAAAAAATATGCTTATCCCATTGTCGACGAAGCCTATGTTTGGCAGCGCTGTGGAACGACGCGATTTTGCACAAAATTTTGGGAGAACGTAAGAAAGTCTTGTGATTATTTGCGAAATGTAAAGCTTTTGTAAACAACTACAACAATTTTCTTAAACGAAAAAGTCT